GCTTTAACCAACACTGCCACCCAGTGGCCATTACTCGATCAGACAACAGGGGATGGGCAACCTGATGTTGAATTGCATTGAATTCTATGTCGGGCAGAAATGAGTGTTTGAATCAGGAAAGTCTTCTACGAGCCAGAAGTTTAATAAAATGATATTTTAATGTACTTTACCGGTTGTCCGTGCGGTTGGTCCATTTGGCAGTAGGAATGTGAGAATATATATCCACAGGAAAGTATAATTACATCAACTTTTCAAATAACTGGTAGTGCGTTCAGATTTTGATCAACCATGTACACGAGCTCTGCAAGTATGCATGCATCTTGTGCATGTATTTTTATCTTGTTCACTTGCTTCAGGTGATAGAAATCTGAACGTACTACCAGCGCTTTGAAAAGTTGATGTAATTCCTGTGGATATATTGTCTCACATTCCTACCGCCAAATGGACCAACCGCACAGACAACAATTAAAGTACGTAAAAATATCATTTTATTCAACATTCTGGCTTGTAGAAGTCGTGAGACAAAATGCTCATTTCTGTCCGACGTAGAATTCAATGTCGGGTTTCCAGGTAAGGCAACTGGCGGTCCGCGGGGAACTCAGTCGGGGTCTTAACTTACTGTTGAGAGTTAAAATAGTGGTATAATTATTTTTGGGGGATTATTTTTTTTTTCTCTTGTTATGTCAGTCACTGATAGTCACTCAATTATCCCATGTCAGCTAAAAAAATGTTGATTGCTAAGTTAGTCTAGACAGCTATCTAAACTTGTCGAATTACCGACCGGGGGACCCACATGATTTTGTTTGTCACTCTCATTCAGATATCATATTAAAAACTGCAAACATTTCTCTCTGCCCAATCGCAAAATGTGTAGAATTTCAGGAAATGAACTATAAAACATACCCTTTTTTCCTCTCTGCTGTCCAGAGGGGCTGCTAAAATAAATTGCTCGCAAGGTGGGGCCGCCCCTCCAACAACATTTCGCTTAGAGCCCCCAAAAGGCTAAGGCCGGCTCTGACTGCATCCTTTGGACAAGTAGGACTGATTTTTTACTTGTTAGAAAGCTGAAGTCACGGCCTCCCGAGTGGCGCAGCGGTCTAAGGCACTGCATCGCAGTGCTTGAGGCGTCACTGCAGACCCGGGTTTGAGCCCAGGCTGTGTCACAACCGGCCGTGACCGGGAGTCCCATAGGGCGGCGCACAAATGGCCCAGCGTCGTCTGGGTTAGGAGAGGGTTTGGCCGGGGGGGCTTTACTTGGCTCATCGCGCTCTAGCGACTCCTTGTGTCGGGCCGGGCGCCAGCAGGCTGACTTCAGTCATCAGTTGAACGGTGTTAAGAAGCGCGGTTTGGTGGGTCATGTTTCGGAGGATGCATGACTCAACCTTTGCCTCTCCTGAGCTTGTTGGGGAGTTGCAGCGATGAGACAAGATTGTAATTGGATTTCACAAAATTGGGGAGAAAAAGGGGGTAAAATACAAACAAAAGATAACGCCTGAAGTCACTTGTGTACATTTTTTTTATTTAAAAAACATCCATAACACCATAGGCCAAAAGGGTGACTTGAAAATGAGTGAAGTACATAGGAGGGATCTGAAATAATTTTCTGTGCTTGCCTATAGACCACCTGTCAAACTCGATGAATGAAGGTCACTGATTAGTAAGGAACTCCCTTCACCTGGTCGTCTAGGGCTTAATTGAAAGGAAAAATCAACACTAGGCCCTCCATGGAATGAGTTTGACACCCCTGCCATAGACAATGTTATCACCCCCTAGCGGCTATCCAAAATAAATGTACAAAAAAGTAACTAAATAAATAAAAAGGACAGCTACATTTGGCTGGCATGCTCCGGGAGGGACGAGAGGAATCATGACATTGACAAAATATATTTTGTGGAGCCAAAACGTCTCAAATAGCCTATTCCACTCTGGTGGAGCTTTGGTACCAACGAGATTTGTACTAGCCTAGGCCTATCTGGCTTTCTGTGGTACCAACGAGATGTGTAGTAGCCTAGGCCTATCTGGCTTTCTGTGGTACCAATGAGATGTGTAGTAGCCTAGGCCTATCTGGCTTTCTGTGGTACCAACGAGATGTGTACTAGCCCAGGCCTATCTGGCTTTCTGTGGTACCAATGAGATGTGTACTAGCCCAGGCCTATCTGGCTTTCTGTGGTACCAACGAGATGTGTAGTAGCCCAGGCCTATCTGGCTTTCTGTGGTACCAACGAGATGTGTAGTAGCCCAGGCCTATCTGGCTTTCTGTGGTACCAATGAGATGTGTAGTAGCCCAGGCCTATCTGGCTTTCTGTGGTACCAACGAGATGTGTACTAGCCCAGGCCTATCTGGCTTTCTGTGGTACCAACGAGATGTGTACTAGCCCAGGCCTATCTGGCTTTCTGTGGTACCAATGAGATGTGTAGTAGCCTAGGCCTATCTGGCTTTCTGTGGTACCAACGAGATGTGTACTAGCCCAGGCCTATCTGGCTTTCTGTGGTACCAATGAGATGTGTACTAGCCCAGGCCTATCTGGCTTTCTGTGGTACCAATGAGATGTGTAGTAGCCCAGGCCTATCTGGCTTTCTGTGGTACCAACGAGATGTGTAGTAGCCCAGGCCTATCTGGCTTTCTGTGGTACCAACGAGATGTGTACTAGCCCAGGCCTATCTGGCTTTCTGTGGTACCAACGAGATGTGTAGTAGCCCAGGCCTATCTGGCTTTCTGTGTGTGCCGAAGCGTGCAGATGGAGCGAGTGACACGGTCAATGAGCCTCACTGGCTGTGCGTCTTGTGATGCAGAGCAACTCTGCTGTCCTCAGAACTGGATAATTATAACCTGATTCAAATGTTTTCCCCTCATCCTCCTCTCTTATTGGCCTAGGCTACTAAATGCGTTGTAGCTAGGTTGCACATTGCTAGGATAATATGGAAATAGGCCTTGGCGAACTACGCATTTCTTTCATAAGCTTTCCTCAGCTGTAGCCTAAGTTCTCTTTTGACTCCTCATTAGATTTTTCCATTTTGGTATTTTTTCTCTCAATTTCACTTCTTCTCATTCAAATATATGTCTTTCAAAATAAATCTGAATGAGAATAGACTCCGACTTTCCTAAAGTTGCAGCTTTTAAATGGGAATAATTATGACATTAAACATTTTATTAGAATAGTTTGGAAAATACTCTTCATAACTTTAATTTGTCTTAATGCTTTTATGATATTTCAGTTAGTAGGATTAGGCTTTTGGTCGTTTGGTTCGCTATGGCAAGAAATGATTTATTTTTCTGGCAGATGCATGCATCATTACTGTCTTATAACGCTTTGCTCAACTGTAAGGTTTGTTCAAATTCCTCATTAGATTTTTATATCTTGCTATTGTTTCTTCTCCCCCCCCTCTCATTATTACCTTAGGCCTCCCATGTTTTGGGGTTATTCAAAAGCAACTTAAAACTTTCTGAGATATCTTATGGAGTTCTAGGCTTCATTCATTGTTTGATCATGAAACAATGCTGCAGGAAAAATGTAGCATGCATTAAACTGAAAGTGGCTTAAAACCCTTTAGAACCAATCGTGGCCGTCAACTGCCTTTTTTAAATTTTTTATATAGTGGCCGTGATCGGCCTTGTTTTTCTAACAATAATATTGGTCAATATCGCTAAATTAACTTGCTAAGAACCTGTTGTCATATTCGCGTGGCTTGTGACAAGGTAGGGGGGTATACAGAAGATAGCCCTATTTGGTAAAAGACAAAGTCCATATTATGGCAAGAACAGATCAAATAAGCAAAGAGAAACAACAGTCCATCATTACTTTAAGACATGAAGGTCAGTCAATGCGGAACATTTCAAGAACTTCAAGTGCAGTCGCAAAACCCATCAAGCGCAATGATGAAACTGGCTCTCATGAGGACCGCCACAGGAAAGGAAGACCCAGAGTTACCTCTGCTGCAGAGGATAAGTTCATTAGAGTTAACTGCACCTCAGATTGCAGCCCAAATAAATGCTTCACAGAGTTCAAGTAACAGACACATCTCAACATCAACTGTTTCAGAGGAGAATGCGGGAATCAGGCCTTCATGGTGGAATTGCTGCAAAGAAACCACTACTAAAGGACACCAATAAGAAGAAGAGACTTGCTTGGGCCAAGAAACACGAGCAATGGACATTAGACCGGTGGAAATCTGTCCTTTGGTCTGATGAGTCCAAATTTCAGATGTTTGGTTCCAACTGCTGTATCTTTGTGAGACGTGATGTGGGTGAATGGATGATCTCTGCATGTGTATTTCCCACTGTAAAGCATGGAGGAGGAGGTGTTATGGTGTGGGGGTGCTTTGATGGTGACACTGTCTGTGATTTATTTAGAATTCAAGGCACACTTAACCAGCATAGCTACCACAGCATTCTGCAGCGATACGCCATCCCATCTGGTTTGGGCTTAGTGGGACTATCAATTGTTTTTCAACAGGACAATGACCCAACACACCTCCAGGCTGTGTAAGGGCTATTTGACCAAGAAGGAGAGTGATGGAGTGCTGCATCAGATGACCTGGCCTTCACAATCCCCCGACCTCAACCCAATTGAGATGTTTTGGGATGACTCGGACCGCAGAGTGAAGGCAAAGCAGCCAACAAGTGCTCAGCATATGTGGGAACTCCTTCAAGACTGTTGGAAAAGCATTCCAGGTGAAGCTGGTTGAGAGAATGCTAAGAGTGTGCAAAGCTGTCATCAAGGCAAAGGGTGGCTACTTTGAAGAATCTAAAATATATTTTGATTTGTTTAACACTTTTTTGGTTACTACATGATTCCATGTGTTATTTCATAGTTGATGTCTTCACTATATTATTCTACAATGTAGAAAACAGTAAAAATAAAGAAAAACCCTTGAATGAGTAGGTGTGTCCAAACTTTTGACTGATACTGTAGCTATTCCAATCAGTTAAAATAAAATAACATATTGGTAATGCATTCTTAACAGTTCGCAAAACATAGTCATTCAGAGGGAGTGTCACCTGGTTGACGAGCCGTGTCCTCTGCTCCCCGCTCCAGTGTGGAGAGGCGTACTGGGAGAGGAGCGCAGGGGTCAAAGATCAGACATACATGTCTAACATGCTTCCTTCTTTTCCTCAATAGGTTATATATGTGGAGAGGAACAGGTGAGAGTGTGTTCATCATGCTATGGTATAATATGAAAGCAGATGTGTGTGTGATCTCTAGCATTTCACCCATGTATATTAGTTTGGATTTGTGTTGATGCGGAATGTGTCATGTTGTAGTGCATGTTTTCATACCAAATGCCACTAGGAGTTCTCCAGGGAACGATACATTTATTCAATGAATACGTTATTCCCCCCTCTGCCTGCATGAGTGTGTGTGTGTGTGTGTGTGTTTGTTTACCTGGTATGCGTAAGCAGTTTGCGAGTAGCTCATGGGCATCTGTGGCATCATGACTCCTGGAAAGCCGTTGTACGAGTAAGGCTGAGAAGAGAGGAAGGAGAAAACGGCAGTGTCAAAGGTAGATGTATGCAAAGTGTCTTCCCTCAGTATAACATCTAAGATAGTCAACTGTCAATCTGGTGTAATTGGGCCATGTTCAGCAGAGCACAACGTTGTGGAACCTTATGTAGAAAACACATGCCTTTGATATGTAGTCAGCTCTATTCATGACAATTCTACCTGCAACGTTCCACAATGTTTGCCTACTGTACGTGGCCCTGGTGTGCTGGGTGGGGTTGGTGCACTTTTGGGACCACTGTTAGTCCTAAAGTGTGAACTGATTCAAGCCCATCTTGCAACACAGACCCTGTGTCCCAAATGGCACCCTGGGCCCTGGTCAAAAGTAGTGCACTTTATAGGGAATAGGGTGCCATTTAGGACACACACAGTGGCTTTGGGATGATGACAGTGCCTTACCTGGATGTAGGGATTGCCCCCATTGAGTACAGGTGAAGGCTGAGCCATGCCCCCTCCCATAGGATAGCAGCAGGTGCAGTAGATGTACTGGGAGGGGCTTATCCAGGGGGCCTGACCAACAAGGTGAGACGGCATGGAACCTGGGCGGGGAAAACCAATAAACAAACATTCCTCCACATTCCAGGCTGACTATAATTGCAGATGCATGCCAGATCTCACAATGCCTAGATAGGTGTTTAACATTTCAGCTAACCACATCATTTGATATAGCAATTTGATGGCCGACTGCACAGTCTATCTGGCACGCAACAATTGGTTGATGCAATGTAGTGGACCTAGAACACATTTAGCCACAACCCAGACTTCAGTTGTGGCAATGGAGTACCAAAGGCAAGGAGTAGAAGCCATAAGAAAATGTTGAGACTCAGATATATCAATGGACAAAATGCACACAAACAACACAGACTCACGTGAGCTCCTTTCCTTCATGATTGCTGGACCCAGTTTGAGTTTCCTCCCTTTAAAACTGATCTGTTGCTACAGAGTAAACATGGTGAAGTCGAAACACATTAGCTTGTGAGTAGAGTGAAGGCAAAGTTTGAAAGACTTGAATCAATTTACGATGTGACCATGTTAAATAAATTACTCTTACTTCAACGATGGTTTGGATGTCGACATCTTCATTGAAGTAAACAAATCCATATCTACACAAAAGTCAAAGAGTGACATTGTTCCATAAAACAATGTTCGGGGATGCACTTTTCTTGACTAAAGGTAGAGCCTACTAATTTGGGACTTACCCTTTGCAGATACCTCCACGGTAAGTGATGATTTTCACTTCCTTCACGGCACCAAATCTCGCAAAGAAGTCCCGGATTTCGTTCTCATCCACCTAGAAAAGGACAATATGAGCAAGTTAGATTATGAAGATGTAGCCGAATACGTTTGGAAATGATTTTAGCTACTCACCTTCATGTCGATTCCTCCTACAAAAAGTGTGTTTGGAGTCATTTTACCTTCAGGTAAAATATAACCATTTGACAGCTTCAAACTTGCGGCCGTCTGACATCCGTTTCTTTGTTTCTGGATATCCTGGAACGAAGAAAATTAAGTAGCTTGACACTGGTCACACCAGTTGTTTTGCACTTTTCTTCAAGGTGCAACCACAACATGCTGAAGTTGGCAGAAAGATTGTAGCCATCTTTATTGTGGCCAGTATCAGATGGATAATATATTGATCCAACGAGCTAGTTCAGTCACAGGTTAAAATAATTAGTTATACCCTGTGTCCAACCATTCTATCCAGGATTATAATTTTTTTAAAGGCCAGCGGGAAATCTCAGACAATTCTGAGTGCAATCCACTTCTATTTCAGCCATCAGGATATTGTCCACCCTTTCCCGGCTAGCTAGTTGCTAACTACCAATAGAAAAACTGATTAGCTAACGTTAACTATACCAAATGATTATTATTCATATGTGCTATAACTTTGGCAAATCAACTAGCTAGTTAGCCAGCCAGGTAATGAACGATTGCCTATCTTGGATGCCCGTGTCCTGGCTTACTAGCAAGGACAGAGAAGGCATGAGGCAACTAACTTTAGCTAGCTAGTAACGTTAGGTATGTTAACTAGAAACGGGGTCGTTTATTGGAGGGCAAATTATTAACTAGTTAACTAAACGACCAAGCTATAATGTTATGAGATTATTTAATCAAGCATGAGAACTGGCGATACACTTCGTTAATGTTAAGTATTTTAGCTTGCTAGTTAACCTAGAAATGTGATATGTAGCTTGCAAGTTATCTAACTTTAGCTAGCTCACTCCCGAGAAATTGGACAGCTATTTTTTTTCTTACACTCTCTGTGGTCGAGGGCGATTTATTCAATACTTTAAAATTACACATTATGTTTGGGTCATTCTCAAAACACAGATGTAGCTAGCTACTCACCATTTCTAAAACCGTTAAAACCGAATAAATTAAACACACTGCCGCGCAAACTTTCCCCGCTTGAAGTGAAACCGATGACTGTCAAAATCGCTGCTCCACGCGCAACTTCTCACTTGGTGAAGCTAATTGGGATATTCCAAAAAGTACAAGGGTTGTTTTTTCAGTGTGTTTTTATTCTCTGTTGTTTTTTTACGCGTAATTTCGTTACAAGAGTTAACACTATTTAGGGGTGTATTCTTTAAATAAAGACGTCTGATATCAAGCCTCTAGTTTTTCAAATGGTACAACATTTTGAAGATGGTGAATATAAGATGTTTCACAAAGATCGAGAATGTAGCTAGCTTTTTAAAATGTGTGAAAGGATTGTTCACGAATGTAGACATTCAGCAGCAGCTACATTACAACAAATAACTAAATAACCACAGTATGGCATAAAGTACAGTAATAAAATCCATTCCTTTGATGACATTTAGCTAATCGGGTGAATCTGAGTCAGGTCATATGATATTGCTCAGATGTACAGGGAGAGAGAGTGAAATGAAAGATTTGTACAACTAGCCCCAGATAGCCCATAGCCTGGCGTTTCCAATGGGAGCAAATTAATCATAGTGGGCAGATGAAGGAAGAAGGTGGGCAGAGCCAAGCACGAGCTAGTGAGATCCTATTTGCGCGTTCTAGCAATTATTTGCATATTTCCGTCAGGGGGAACGCCAACTCTGTTAAATGCGCGGGTGCAATAGCTCAATTCGCACTTGCACTCGTAAACAAAGCAATTTTATTAGAAACTTTGGCAAAGGGTAAAGTCTACAAAACGCAGTCCACTCTGTTTGTTACAGATTTTAGTTTTGGAAATAGAATCGTATGATTGTGGTCCTCTGTAGCTCAGCTGGTAGAGCACGGCGCTTGTAACGCCAAGATAGTGGGTTCGATCCCCGGGACCACCCATACACTAAAAAAATGTATGCACGCATGACTGTAAGTCGCTTTGGATAAAAGCGTCTGCTAAATGGCATATTATATTATTTATATGAAATGTTTCATCGATGAAAAAATTAGCAGAATGTCGGCCAAAATCCAACCGGATGCTTCACATTTATACATCCGGTGAAATATCTGGCTCATTGTTCTATCTATGGTGAGATGCAGGACAGACATGGCTTACCGATAGGGTGCCCCCTTGCATTTCATAGTATTGAGTCTCTATCAGAGCTCCCAACAATAATTTTATTGTATGTGCAAAATTGTCCTCTGTAGTGGTCATTAGGATGTAAATATATATATAAAAAAGTACATTACAGTCAATGGGTACAGAAGGTGAAAAACATAGTTGAGGCATCTGGGTGTCCACTCCAGAGGACATTTCTTGATAAGCTCTTATTTAGCTCTTATTTAATGTGAAAAAATTATTACACAGTCCTGACAACCCACTTAACTATTCCTGAGATATTCATATACTAGAAACAATTTGAATATAAAAAATAAAAAAAACGAAAGTAATTGCACACACTTCTTTTAACATTTCCATAAAATGTGCTAATTTTGTAGGCAGACATTTTTTTAAGAACCAGGAAGGTAAAGTTGTCAAGGTCACACCCCCACACATGTGATATTGGAAAGCCCAGAATGTCTTCTCAAAGGGACAACAGGACTTAACACAGTGGTTTGTATGGCCTCAGAGACACGGACCAATAGCTGATGTCCACAAGAGAGGACAAAAATGAATAGCTGTTTAATGCCATGTGGGGACCACCACGGTTCACACTTAAAAGTCAAGAAGAGGTGGGCGTGTTTATGGAAACGTAGCCAATATTGCATCTGTACTATGCTGTTGTATGAAAAGTAATCAATAGGTAGGTGCCCAATGTGTAACACTCGCGCAACTGTTTCCACGCAGACAGTGAAGTAATTCGACCAGCTGGAAACATGCTGCTCGTCTACTGTAGTAGTATAGAATATATATGCCTAGGCTACGAAGGTTAGGTGGCTTCAGAATACAGTGAGAACTGACAAGTCAAGCCCCTGAAGCAATTATGTCTAGAAGGGATACAGTTTTTGTCAAACGTGACTTTTCGTAGCAGGTTAGGAGAATTAGGTTAAGGTTTGCTAAAATGCACAAAACCTTTGACGGCAATTTGACAAAAACTGTATACCATCTAGGCATGACCCCCTGAAGCCCGTTGCCTTCACTTCCCTATTATGAAGATGACAATTGCGCTGTCAGGAGTGGTTACAACTGCGCAGGGCACTTGAGGTGTGCCATCCGGTTCACTGTAACAAAAATCTCTTTTTGACTTTTCATTCTGGTGAGTCGCCGGTGATGCTGCAAATGATTTGTATCAGTGGCATTCCCATTCTCGTGTAAAGCAATGTCTACCGACGGAGAAGCAAGATTTGTAGAGGATATCTTTTGGGTAGTCTACTTTGCAAGAGAACACAGGATGTGTGGCTGTCTGTTAAAGCCCGGAGTCGCTTTGGTGCGCTGAAGGATCGTATGATTGTCAGTTATTTCACGTAGCGAGGCGATCACCAATCAAGGCATACACACAGCTACGGTGAACGAAAATCCACATTTGTAGCGGACTTAAAGACCCGTAGGGTGCGCGCCCACCGGTTGCTGGGATGAAACCCTCGCGGAGCAATGGGATGAGCCTCGAGACTCATCGAGCGGATTTGCTGTCCAACGGAGGCTGCGGGATGTCAGACACCGTGACTGCTGTCCAAACCGAGACTGGTCCCGGATCCCCAATGACTGACAAACAGGGAGCGGGAGAAACTACAAACGCCAAAGGAATCCCTAGGCGGAGCAGTATTATCAAGGTAAAGGTTTGGGGGTATTAAATACACCGAACTGACCATACTAAATTGATCTGTAACTGTTCAAGAACACACACACTGTCTCATCTCTTTCTTCCTGGCTCCTATCCGTTTCCTCTCCTTCTCCCTGTCTCCTCTCCTTCTCCCTGTCTCCTCTCCTCCTCCCTGTCTCCTCTCCTTCTCCCTGTCTCCTCTCCTCCTCCCTGTCTCCTCCTTCTCCTCCTCCCTGTCTCCCTCTCCTTCTCCCTGTCTCCTCTCCTTCCTCCCTGTCTCCTCTCTTCCCTGTCTCCTCTCCTTCTCCCTGTCTCCTCCTTTCCTCCCTCTCCTCTCCTTCTCCCTGTCTATTCCTTCTCCTTCTTCCTCTCCTTCTCTGTGTCTCCTCACCGCCCTGTCTCCTCTCCTTCTCCCTATCCCTCTCTTCTCCCTGTATAGTCCTTCTCCTTTCCTTCTCATTCTCCCTCTCCTCTCCTTCTCCCTGTCTATTCCTTCTCTCTCCTCTCCTCTCTCCTCTCGCTCTCCTCTCCTTCTCCTGTCTCCTCTCCTTCTCCCTGTCTTCTCCTTCTCCCTCTCCTCTCCTTCTCCCTGTCTATTCCTTCTCCTCTCCTTCTCCATGTCTTCTCCTTCTCCCTCTCCTCTCCTTCTCCCTGTCTGATTCCTTCTCCTCTCCTTCTCCATGTCTTCTCATTCTCCCTCTCCTCTCCTTCTCCCTGTCTATTCCTTCTCCTTCTCCTCTCCTTCTCCCTGTCTCCTCTCCGCCCTGTCTCCTCTCCTTCTCCCTGTCTCCTCTCCTTCTCCCTGTCTTCTCCTTCTCCCTCTCCTCTCCTTCTCCCTGTCTATTCCTTCTCCTTCTCCTCTCCTTCTCCCCTTCACTTCTTCTCCCTGTCTCCTCTCTTTAGACCACAATGATTGGAAAGACCTGGACAAATGATTGCTTTCACCTATCATGTCAGATCAATGCAGATAAAGGGAAGGATACAAGAAGAGGAAGCCACTTTATACTATTGTGATGCACCCCAGATAGCTCCAGCTGCTTGCAATGAATGCAATAAATGCTTGAAATAAATAGGCTACTATTTGGCAGTGGTTTTAATGCCTATCTCTACGCCTACTACTAAACTAGCTTTGCGTTGCCTTCCTCGTCAAGACAGAAAGACAGAGATTGATTCCTAGATCTTTGGACTGGGCTGGATGGAATGACCCACCTGACCCTTGACCCAGCGCCTCCCTCTTTATTCTTCTACTTTAGACAGACTTCATCCCTGTTTTAAACTTTGAAATAAGTCCTTCATTTTCACTTCCCCAAGGCAATCGTTTGATCTGACAACTGG